TGATGTGTCAATGTAGGTTCATCAATGTAGGTACAGAGTGTGTACCACTCCAGTGGGGGATGCTGATAACAGGGGAGGCTATGCATGTGTGGAGGCAGGGCATATATGGGAAATTTCTGTACACCTTCCTCTCAATATTGCTGTGAACCTAAAACTGCTCTAAAAAAACAGTCTTTGAATTATGGGGGGAAAAAAAAAAGCTAAGCATAGAATTACCATATGCCCCAGCAATTGCAAATCCTAGGTATACACCCAAGAGAAATGAAAATATATGTCTAGTACAGCATGGTGACTATAGTTAATAATACTGTATTGCATATTTGAAAGTTGCTAAGAGAGTAAATCTTAAAAGTTCTCTCATCACAACAAAAAAAAAATTTTGTAACTATGTATGATGACAGATGTTAATTAGACTTACTGTGATCATTTCATAATATATACAAATATCAAAACATTATGTTGTACCCCTGAAACTAATGCAATGTTAGTATTAACACTGTATTATATACTAATGTATAAAATGTATAAATAATTTATAACATATAAACTAATACAATTATACCTCAATAAAAAAATGTCTACACAGAAACTTGTACACAAATGTTTATAAACATTTCATGGTCACTTCTTTTATAAACATAATGCTATATTAACTTGATTCATAATAGTCAAAAAGTGGAAACAACCCAAATGTCCATCAAGGGATGAATGGATAAACAACTTGTGATATATACATACAATGGCATATTATTCAGCCATAAAAGAAGAATGAAGTACTAAAGTATTAATACATGCTACAACATGGATGAACCCTGAAAACGTACGCTAAGTGAAAGAAGCCAGACACAAAAGGTCACACATCACATGATTCCATTTACAGTAGTCCCTCCCTTATCCGCAGTTTCACTTTCCACAGTTTCAGTTACCTGTGGTCAATCATAGTCCGAAAATATTAAATGGAGACTTCCAGAAATAAACAATTCAAAAATTTTAAATTGCATGCCATTCTGAGTAGCATGATAAAATCTCACGCCATCCTGCCTGGGACGTGAATCATCCCTTTGTCCAGCGTAACCACACTGCATACACTACCCGCCTGTTAGTCACTTAGTAGCCTTCTTGCTTACCAGACCGACTGTCGTGGTATCACAGTGCTTGTGTTCAAGTAACCCTTATTTTACTTAATAATGGCCCCAACGGTAAGAGCAGTGATGCTGGGAATTCGGATCTGCCAAAGAGAAGCCGTAAAGCGCTTCCTTTAAGTGAAAAGGGGAAAGTTCTCAACTTAATAAGGAAAGAAAAAATCATATGCTGAGGTTGCTAAGATCTACAGTAAGAACAAATCTTCTATCAGTGAAATTGAGAAGAAGGAAAAAGAAATTCGTGCTAGTTTTGCTGTTGCACCTCAAGCTGCAAGTTATGGCCACAGTGTGATAAGTGCTTAGTTAAGATGGAAAAGAAATTATATTTGTGGGTGGAAGACACAAACAAAAAACATGTTCCAGGGGCCTGGCCGGTGGCATAGCAGTTAAGTTCGCACATTCCACTTTGGTGGCCCAGGGTTCGCAGGTTCAGATCCCAGGCGCCGACCAATGCACCGCTTGTCAGGCCATGCTGTGGCGGGATCCCATATAAAGTAGAGGAAGATGGGTACAGATGTTAGCCCAGGGCCAATCTTCCTCAGCAAAAAGGAGGATTGGCAACAGATGTTAGCTCACGGCTAATCTTCCTCTCAAAAAAAAAAAAGAAAGAAAGAAAACGTGTTCCAAATGGTGGTGACGTGTTGTGCCAGAAAGCACTGAGCCTATACGAAGACATCAGCAATGGATCCCCTGAAACGTGTGACACCAAGCCTCTTACTGCAAGAAAGGGACGGTTACACAGATTCAGGAATAGATTTGGATTGAAAGAGAGAGAGACCACATTCACATAACTTTTATTACAGTACAATAATTGTTCTATTTTATTATTAGTTATTGTTGTTAATCTCTTACTGTGAGTAACTTATAAATTAAACTTTATCGCAAGTATGTATATATAGGAAAAAACATAGTATAGGGTTTGGTACTATCCGCAGTTTCAGGCATCCACTGCGGGGTCTTGGAACGAACCCCCAGCTTATAAGGGGGGACCACTGTATATAATATATCCAGAATAGGTAAATCCATAGATACAGATTGCATATTAGTGATTAGCAGGAAGAGAGGGGAAGGGGAAATGGAGAGCAATTGCTTAACAGGTACAGGGTTTTCTTCCGGGGTGATGAAAATGTTTTGGAACTAGATAAGAGGTGGTGATTGCACAATATCGTGAACATACTAAATGCCACTGAATTGTTCACTTTAAAACGATTAATTCTACGTAATGTCAATTCCACCTCAACTTAAAAAAAAATGGAATGAGAGAAAGGGGAAAATTTTTAAAAAAAAAAAACACAAAATTTAATCTTTTTACTCTTTTTTTATAACAGTTCTATTGAGATACAATTTATATACCATACAATTCATCCATTTAAAGTGTGCAATTCAATTGTCTTTAGTGTGGTCACAGAGTTGTGCAACCATCATCACAATTTTAGAACATTTTTATCACCCCCCCCCCCGAAAAAAAACCAGTACGCATTTGCAGTCATGCCCAGTCCCTCTTCCTCCACAGCTCTAGTCAACCACTAATCTACTTTCTGTCTCTATTGATTTGCCTATTCTAGACATTTCATAGAAATGAAATCAGATGTTATGCGATCTTTTGCGACTGGCTTCTTTCACTCAGCGTATTTTCAGGGCATTTCCTTTATTTTAACCATAAAGTTTGTGCCATGTATTAAAACATAAGGAAAAAAGTAAGGAGACTATTCAAGGACCACTTATGAAAAGAACTTTACTGAATACAATGGCGGATCAAGAATCAAAAACAGAAATCCAGTTCAGATGAATCTTCATCAAATATAAATCAACAGATATGAAGCGAAACTATTATACCATGTAGCAGAAAATAAGCAAACTAGGGTAAAATAAATACATTAAGGAAAATATTTTACAAAACAAATTGCTTGTCAAAGAGGACATCTTGCCTAAAAAAGGTGTAGCACAAGCGATCACAAGGTCTAATTACAAATTACAGGAAGAGCAAAGAATCACTGTCTTTGTGTCTAAAAACTGCTCCAGCCAGTGTTTCTCAAAACAGGGTCCCTGGACTACCTGCAGCAAAATCATCTAAGAACTTGTTTTACAAAAATCAGATTTCTGGTCTGTGCCCCAGTCACGGAAAATGGGGCCCTGGAAACTATTTTGAATAAGAACTCCAGATGATTCTCATGAATACTAAAGTTTGACAACTAATATCTAATTAACCCAAATCAATGCAAATGATTAAATGTATGTAAGAGTCAAGAGAAGTGACAAAAGCAAAATGGATGAAAAAGAGGAAGGTGAAAAAAATACTTAAAATTTTGGCACAGTGTGCTCTGGGGAAAACATAAAATCATATTTGAAAACTCACGCGGATTTGATGATGGAAAAAAATTCTAAATGTGTACATATGCAAGCCATTCTACTAATACCTGTGAAGGCCACTCAGGGTATGACACAGGAAAACACAAATGTAAGGTTGCGTGGTAGAGAGAGCACGTAGTAGATGAGCAAATGTTTGCTGACAATGTTAACTATTTTTATAACAAGTACAGTTATATTTAATTATCTCCAACCCAAAATCCAATAACCTAGACAAAACCAAACTTTTTGCTGTAGTAATCTTTACATGAACAGCATAAACTGTCAAATATTATGTCAGATAACTGACATGCAAGCTCAGGGCTGGGACATTTACTTTCAGACCAAGTTAATCTCTATTTTTATGGTCAGACTTACGTAAACAATGACAGGCAAAACCAGAGTTAAATTCCTCAAAACTAACAGCATTGCATGATAGAACTCAAATTTCCCCCAAAATCACGAAAATATGTATACAAGGAGAGCCTTTATTATCCTAACTGTAAGCAAAGATTTCTGAAGATGAACTATTAAGTTCTAACTCGTAATTTTACTTCAGTGAGGAAAGTAGACTTTGGTTTAGCAGGGATAAAGAAAGGAAGTTTCAATTACATAACTCTCAAAGGACCTCACTATCAGATGCAGAATTTGTCCTCCATAAAAAGCGTCTTTCCCCTATAAACCCACAAACTCAATTAAAGTGTTAAGTTGTAACATCTCTTTTGACTGACTTATTTAGATTAAGCCTTAAAATGCATTTGGAAACCCAATTATATTCCATCTAACCCTAAGATGCTGGTAATTCAACATTTCCAGACGTGATTCTTGCACATCCTATAAATGAAACAAACTGCTGGGGGAATGAAATAGCTAATGCATGCAAATAAATTACACGGGAAGTTATGCTGCTTTCAAAGGAGACTTTTATTTATTATCAGCATTTAGCTTGATACACGAAGGTCTAAGCATCTAAAAGTTCTCTATGACACTTTTTCATTTCACAGCTTATGTTTCAAAAATCAGAAACCCTAGAACTAAGTAAAGCCTTAAAGTAGGCTAAGATACGGATGGGTGAACTTCTTCACCAAGGTCTCACACTTCCTCACAAAAAGCAGTCAAACAATTTTCATTAAGCCTACCTCCCAACTCCCCAACTCCCTAGATTTCTCTCACATGCTCAGATTGGCCTCCTCTTCACACAAGTCCAGCCCAACCCATCCACACACACCATCAGTCTCCAAGTCTCCCACACCGGCACAACAGCCTCTCATCTGGTTGCTAATCCAGGGCCATTCTTTCTTCGATTTATCTTGCACAGACTTGACATGCCTACAATCTCTTGTTCCATTTCTTCCACAACACTCACTACTCAAAGCAACCTAAGAAACAAGTCCCTTTTCCCTACCCGCAGACAGCTTCTTTAACTCTATACACCTCTTTTTTTTTTTTTCCTTATTCTCTATCCTGCCTTTGTTATTCAGAAGGTGCAGGGTCTGGGAAAATCTCACTCACCTCATGCTATAGGCACCAGCACCCAGTTCCTGGCCGATCCCGGAGAGACTAGCATCAAAGTCCTGCACCAGCCCGGATTCAATCACTTCATCGGCCAGAGGCAGCTTCAGAGCCCAGGCCATCCTGGCTCCTTCGCTGCCCCAGGAGACACCGTTTTCTTGTACAAAGGCGAGTAGTGTGATTCTACCCACCAGGGGCAAGACTGTAGAAAACTCCAAACCAAGATCTCCCACACAGTACCTACCAGCCACCCCCAAGCCCAACCCGCACTGCCCGCACAATCTAACTAATTGCCCGTACCCTTGCCTCCTTGCTCTTGGCTGCCCCGACTGAAAACCCCTCCCACCCAGCTTTCTGGAGCCGCACGAGGGCCCCTTTGCTTAACTACTCCAGACTGCCCAGAGGCAGCCCTGGATTCCCATACTCCCACTCCTTGGGTTCGTGGTGGTCACACTGCTTTCCAAACAGACCAGCAGCGGCACGCGCTGCCTACCCGGCGCTCCCACTCCGCTCTCCCACCTTTCCCCCCGCCCCCTTCCACTGGGAGCCCCCTCCCTCCGGGGACCCGCTCTCCCTGTCCCCTCCAGGCCTGGCTTCCGGTCAGTCCCAAGATGACTTCCGGTCACCCCCGCTCAACCCCACGGCTCTTAGAACCAAATCCAGGTTTCCGCCGAGCCGACTCCCCTCCCTCTGCAGCCCCCCACGGCCTCGACACACGGAAGGGAAAAGTCCGACACCGGCGTGAAACCCAGACTCGCCGAGCTCCCCCACCGCCCGCGGCCCCAGCGCCAACCAATCATGGCGCCCTCTTCCTTTGCCGGTCCGGCGAACGTGACGTCACTCTGCCGCCCACCAATGGGGAAGAGACGTCGTCGGCCTCGGCAGTGATGATAGGCTAGCTACGACACGGCTTCCCGCCCCCCGGAGATGGGCTGGGCAATCCGGGAGAGGGCCCGGCGTGCGTCAGGTGTCCCGGTTTAAACGTCCCTCCTTGTGGCTACCTGAGTTTTGGCATCCGCTACTTACCGAGTCGGAACCCTAAGGCGTGGGTGGAGCTTTCGCTCTAGGTGTACCGAACCCACACCCAGTCCCGGCGGACGCGTGCTCGTTTCCTCCTGAGATACTCTCTGTCCTTAGACTCACTTCTTCGGAGGTCAAGACTGCTTAAATCCGATTTCCCTTGATCATTTTACTTTCTGCATTCTTCCTAGTGCATTTGAACAGGAAAGCATGAGATGGGTGAAAGTGTTGTGGTTTTTAAAAGGTAGTGGTCTGGGGGCCGGCCCCTGGCTTAGCGGTTAAGTGCGCGTGCTCCGCTGCTGGCGGCGGGTGTTTGGATCCCTGGGGGCGCACCAATGCACCACTTCTCCGGCCACGCTGAGGCCGCGTCCCACATACAGCAACTAGAACGATGTGCAGCTATGACATACAACTATCTACTGGGGCTTTGGGGGGAAAAAATAGATAAAGTGGAGGAGGATGGGCACGGATGTTAGCCCAGGGCCAGTTTTCCTCAGCAAAAAGAGGAGGATTGGCAGATGTTAGCACAGGGCTGATCTCCTCACAAAAAAAAAAAAAAAGGTAGTGGTCTAAAGATTGGAATTTGGGCTGGCATCTTCACTTGCTAGTTTGGTGACTTCAGAATAATAGCTTCATCTCATTGAGATTTAGCTTCCTCATTTGAAATGTAGGAATAACCATACCTGCACCACCTTCCTCCTTTGGGGATTAAATAATAATGTCCATTGTTTATTGGGCATTAACTATATGGCAGGAACTTTATTACATTATCAGTAATCCTCAAGACAATCTTGTGACTAGAATTATCTTTCTAAAGGTAAGTGTTATGGACCTGATTTTACCAATAAGGAGAGGAGGCTAAGGGCTTAAATTGGCCAAAGCTAAATTGGTGTGCGAACTTCAGAGCTGATTCCAAAGCCTGACATTTTTCACTACAAGGCATTGCCTATATGTGAAAGTATTGGTTCATTGTATTCCACTACTGAATTTTTTACAATCTACCTTGAATTATAATTTCGTATATATCTGCCTTTTTCTCTAGACTGTGATCTCCTAAAGAATAGGGAATAAGTCTTCTTCAGGCTTGTGTTCTTAATATCTCCTAGTATAGTTCCTGCATTCAATAGGACTTTAAAAAATACTTATTGAATTTAAAAAGGAAAGAAAGAGAGGAAAGAGGTTGACACGAAGTTGACAGCATACCCCCAGTTTCAGCTACAGTCTTCTCTCTTTGAGGGCTCTAGTCTTACCCATCTTCTTACCTTAATAAGCTCTGGCATCCAAGTCTTGGCAAAATCCTTTGTATTCAAGCAGTGTATCCAGAGTATTTTAAAACATCTATTAGGTGGAACCATGCCTTGTTTGAACAACAGCTCTGTCACTAGATGCATAATCTTGGGCAAATAACTACATCTCTGAGCCTCAGTACTTTAATCCATAAATTAGTGAAAATAATACCTCCTCCTAAAATTGTGAGGATTAAATGAAGTGCCAAGATGCCACATAAATAATAATTATTCAATAAATGTTAGCTCCTGTCTCCTACTACCCCATTTCCACTTCTCTGTTAAGATTGGGTTGGTATTATCATCCTATTTAAAAACATTAATTTACATTGTATGGTGTGTTATAATTTTGGTATCACTTTAATGTATATTTAATTAAAACATAATTAAATATGTCTTATTTAATCCTCATGAAAGCTTTTGTTTTTTTACTATGCAGAAACTGAAACTAAGAGAGGGAGAGTCTTCAAGCGGACTGCAACATCTTTAGAAACCATCCTGAGAATTATTCTGTGATTCAGCGACTCCACTCTATATATGGACCCCAGAGAACTCTTGCACATATGTACCAGGAGACTTGTATGAGAATGTTCATGCCAACACTATTTATAGCAACAAAACAGAACAAAACAAATGTCCACCAACAAGAGAACGGATAAATTGGCGTGGGATAGAAGATTATACAGCAGTAAAAATGAATAAAACTTTAAGAAATGAATAAAGCTATACTCAACCAAGTGAATAAATCAATCTTAGAAATGTGGGGGGAAATGCGGAAGTCCTCATACAGTGTAACATCGTTTTATAAAGCTCAAACCCCAGCAAAATTAAGCAATATATCATTTAGGGAAATATACACACATTCCTTTAAAAAAGGAAGGAAGGGGCCGGCCAGGTGGTGTAGTGGTTAGGTTCGGATCCTGGGCGCAGACCAACGCACCGCTTATCAAGCCATGCTGTGGCAGCGTCCCATATAAAGTAGAGGAAGATGGGCACAGATGTTAGCCCAGGGCCAATCTTCCTCAGCAAAAAGAGGAGGATTGGGAACAGAAGTTAGCTCAGGGCTGATCTTCCTCACAAAAAAAAAAAGGGGGGTGGTGAAAAGATAAACAAGCCTCTGTGGTGGCCACATATAAGAAAAGGTGGTGGGGGTGGGGGGGTGCTGGTAGAGGAGGAACACAAAAGTAGCTTCAACAGTGGTAGTTGAGTGGTGGTGTTACGAATTTCACCTCACTCACACTCAGAGGAGCTCCAAGGAGGGGCCCATGTGTGGGCCCTGTACCCACAATCTGTCCCTTCCTTGAAGGGTTCTTCCCCATTTGGTGTCGCAGATGTGAAATGACATAGAAGCTGAGAGGTCAGCGGCACAAGCTTTGTTCAATGGTCAAAGAATGGAAAAGCGGGAACTAAGTTCACAAATCCACTTGTCAGCTCCTGGGGTGATTAAGCAGCTGTTATAAGGGGTCTAGGTAATGAAGGGGAGGAATATTCATAGTTATTCCGGGAAATGGGCAGGCTTTTCTGGGGAGCGAGGGTGCCTCCTCTTTTCTTATTTGGTTATATCCTGCCGTTGCCATGGCAGTTGTAAACTGTCATGGCGTCGGTGTGTGTGTTCTATAATGTGGTAATGTACTATAATGAGCATATGAGGAGCTGTGGGGTCTATGTCAGGTCAAGTCGGACTGCCATGTTGCCTTCAACCGGTTTTAACTGGATTTGACCTATGTCTCAGCCATCTCCTCCTTCCTCTCTTTGTGGTTTCCTGTAAGTTAAAGAGAATGTGTTAGGCTTGTTCTGAGCAGGGTTGTGGTTAACACCTTATGGGGTCAGTGAGCCAGGTAACAGTAGATCTGTGGGTTATTATTCGTTTCATCATTTTGCTTCATAAATTACCCAAAAAGTGTGGTCTTGAATATGTAACAAATATTACATAAATTAGCAGCTGAGCCAGGAACTACAGTCCAGATCCCTGATTCTTGTAGCTGAGATCTGCCTACAGTGATGCCTCCCTGCTGGTGGTACAGTCCTAGGAACTGTCCAGACACAGAGCAAATAATAGCTGATAATAATGACAGGCCCATATCTACTGAGCCCTTCCTAAGTGCCAAACCCTGACTAGGTCCTTTACGTATATTATCTCATTTCATCCTCACATCACCACTGGAAGGAAGGTACCATTATTAAACTTATTTCATAGATAAGGAATGTGAGGCTTAGAAAAATTGATTGGCTCATCCAGGGTCACCCAGCTTGAGAGTGGTGAAGCCTCACTGATTGACCACGCAGTCTGGGCATCTAACCATCATGCCACGCTGTGCGTGTGGATGCTTATAACCTAAAAAATACCTGCTTCCTACCTATCCTTCTTTTCAGAGATGAATTTTGAAGCTTGTGGGGTGAGAGAATTGAATTTTCAGAAAACTGTAGCCCATGAAGGAATATTGGATGGAGCATGTTTTCCCTACACAGAAAAATAGCTTAAAGGAAATGGATTTAAAATACAACAAGGGGTATTCACATTAGATGTTTGGAAGAGATGATTGTGCCATATCCAGGAGTCTCATGGAACCCTGTCCTCTGGAAAATACTTAGAAAAAAACAGACATGTACTTCTTGGAAATGTTTGAGCCTAAGTTTAAATTCTGAACCAAAATAAAGATTTCACGAAGGTCCTGCTTACCATTTATTAATTCTAAAGTAAACCGAGGTGAATTGAAAGGTGACTCTTAAGCTTTGACCCCTCCCAAGTGGAATGCAGATCAGTCTTGAGATTTATGCCCTTGAACTCGGTTCTCCTGAGGAGAGAAGACCTTACAGACTGTTTACGCCTGGAATTCTGTGAGTTGGGGGAGTACACTTTTTCCTTCCTTATCTTCCCCAAATGTAACCAAGAGCAAAATTGGAGTGCCAGGGCTGGAAACAGGGATTCCAGTGGCAGGCTGGGGGATCTGCCTCCAAGAAAAGACCTCCAGGTGTTCCCCTGGAAATCCAGAAACACCTATCAATAAACCAAATTTTTGTACCCATAAATTCATCCCACAACAAAAATCATGGCTCCTATTAGACCTAATAAATATGACTAATTAACCACAGCACCTGTGGCACAGAGCTCCAAATTTGGTGTTCTGGACCGTTGGGTGAAGTTAGGGCTCATTGTGAAGGGTTCATTTCCCTGGATTAGGTCCTGAAACTAGACACTGTGTAGATGGAACATAGCAGAGCCTACACTGGTGGGGGGAAACATGTGGAAATCCTACCAAAAAGATCAAGATAGACAGCAATCCTCAGGTCCCACCCTGTATGGGCTAAGGTTAAGCACACAGGCTTTAGAGACAGCCCACCTGGGTCTAAGACCTCCTTCTGCTGCTCAAAAACAAAGCAATCCTGAGTAAATTCCCCATCTTTTCTATTCCTCAATTCCTTATCTGTAAAATGGGCATAATAATAGTTCTTAATTTATAGAATGATGGTGAGAAGTAACTGAAATAATGCACGTTAAGTG